ACGATTCAGAAATTGCTGTTGTAAAATCACCTTTACTCTAATTGTGTATGATTATAATTATGTATCACATGAGTTTAAATGATTTAATTAGTCTTTGCTTATAAATGAACATTTAATAGATGTGTCTTTTCAATTCATAACATTTCACTTCAACATGAGTATAGTTACAGAAACAGCAAAGGTAACTTGGTCCTCAGTATTGCACACTTTAAAACAAAGTGTTGATGAAATACATCAGCATATGTTTTAGAATTTAAAAACTGATCTTTGCCAGTTATCGAAATAAAAGGCTTTAGTTATATTTTTTAATAGTATAAATATATACTATGTTGTTGTTGGGCTTAGGATTCTTCTGCAGTAGGTGTCTGTGACTTATTACCAATAAATTCAATGATAAATAAACAGCACGCACTTCACTTGTTTTCAGAATAATATATATATATATATTCAGAACAAGTTAACGTATGTGCAAGAAATTCTTCAACACTATAGAAATTATAGGCATATCATAAACACTATATCTATAGTTCTCTCCTTTTTTCAAATATCCACTTAGGCCTATTCAATTATTAGGTCATCAAGAAATTAATGTTGCTTTGTTTTAGATGAAAAAACCTGAACAACTTGTATAACGAAACAAAAAAAATATTAAATGAAATAGTCTCCATTATTATTAATGATGCTTTTCCATCTTACAATCAGGTTGTTAATGCCCTGATTAAAGAAATTACTCAGCTTTGAAGCAAAAAACATGTCGATGTTCTCTTTAACACCTTCCACATTTGCATACGTTTTCCCATTAAGATGGTGGTGCAGTGAACGAAAAAGATCGTGATCTGATGGTGCCATATCTGGAGAATATGGTGGGTGGGGGAGAACTTCCCAACCCAACTCCATAATCTTGTGTTGCATCATACGTGCCACTTATGGACGTGCATTGTCATGGAGAAGAAGAACACTTTTCCGATTTGATGAGTGAAGGGCGTTTCTGATGAAGGGCTTGATTTAAACACTCCTTTTGCTGACTATAGATTTCTGCAATGACAGTTTGCTGTGGATTGGGGAGATCAAAATTAATTACTCCTTTGATGTCCCACCAGATGCAAAGCATCATTTTCTGCAGATGGAGTCCAGGTTTTGGGGTCAGAAGTGGTTTTTGTCTAGGACTGAGCCATTGTTTTTGGCATTTAATATTCACATAGAGAATCCATTTTTCATCACCGCTTACAATTCTGTCCAAAAATGGCTCATGCGCATTACGCGCCAGAAGAGACGAAGCAACATTCACACGTTGGAAACGATGGTTATCAGAGAGTTTGTGAGGCACACAAACACCTTCTTTATGGAGTTTTCCCATATTCCTTAGATGTTTATGTACTGTTTCATGAGAGACATGCAATTTCAGGGCCATTTCACGAGCGTGTGTTGCCTTGGGTTAGACTCAACAAGAGTCTTCAGAGCATCAATATCAATTCCAACATGTCGGCCCCTGCCAACACAGTTTTGAAGGCTAAAGTCACCTGAATGAAATTTGCTGAACTATTGTTGACAATTATGAACGTTCAAAACATTTCCATAAACGTCTTTGATATTTTTTGTGGCTATATAGGTGTTGTTTCCCATTTTGTATTCAAACAATATTACATGCCAAATGTGTGTCTCGTCGTGTGCCATCACTATAAATGATTAGAGTATATTAAACTTTACACATTATATAGGCTACACTAATGTGACTTTAAGGCAGTTCGTTTAATTATTATACATGATGTATGTTTATTGGTTAATGAAAGTGTTCCAAAACGTGACATTAATTTCTTGATGTCCTAATACTTTAGTCTTTCAGTTGACAAACCAAACTATCTTCTCTATTTCTATCACACTAGTATTCTCTGTGTGATTCACTTAAATTCGTGGCACAAGTTACCGTAATCATTTGGTCTTCTTTCTTTTGAAGATCCTCTGTTCCTTTTGTCAAAGTGCACTCAGGTTGATTCAATTACTTTAGAACCACGGCTTTGACGAAATAAAATTATTATTTTTATCTCGTTTTCTACTGTTAGTTTTACTCTTAACTTGTTAACTTTTAGTCCTATCACTTCTATGGTACTTAACTTCATGCTAACTTTATTCGCTTTTGATATTATCTATTTGCTTCTGTCTGCTGTTCCCGCTTGTCTCATGCTATTTATATCTTTATCACTTAATCGTCTATCCGCCTTCTATATTCACGATGTCAGTGTATTTCATGTGACGTTTGATATTCGCAACATCAATTAATTATTAACAAAATTTTCTGT